TAAATACAACATTTGTTTGAAAAGTACATAAACAAAGTTCTATGAATCTAAGGCTACCATGAACAAGAGGCAGCTACAACTGGAACGCAGGTATGTCTTCAAGTCCAGCTCCCGTCAAACATAGCAACATCATCAGTCAACACCTGCACGCAAGGTGCAAAAGCGTAGTATGAGTGCAACCGATCTCATGTACTCAATAAGTAATAAACATAACATTGGGTTGAAAGTAGTGACGAGTTGGAACATAGGTCGGGTCCAACACCAATAACCAACAACAGTTCATAACAATGTAAAGCAAACAATAAAAGAAGTAACTCGGAATTCAAATTGCGCAGCTTATTCATAATTCCCGAAAATAGTTCCGTTTTTCAAGTATATCAGTGAAAACCCAAATCCTTTACCGAAATTGTCGAAAATATGAGTAAGTTTGAAAATTGTAGTTTTTTCCAAAAACCTTTCAATAGGTAAATGTTTCATTTTTCAGATAGCATGAGGAAAGTACATCTCTATGCCTACATGTCAAGATACAAGTAAAATCATGAATGTCATCAAAACTGGGCAGCAGAAGGAGATGCATCTCTATGCATGTATCTCAAGTACGCATGTCAAATGCAATGCCTCTCAGTGATGACTCATGTACTCACACTCTCAGAGTACTCAATCTCAATGTCTCGCATTTCTCTCTTACCGTGCTTAATACTCAGCACACTCAATCACTCAGCACTGTACAATACTCGTTGCGGTGTGCAACCCGNTATATACACACACACACACACACACAATCAATTGCGCTCACTGGGGTATGTGCAGACTCCGGAGGGGCTCCTTCAGCCCAGGCGCCATATCGTTGCGGCGTGCAGCTCGATCCCATAAAATATAATCAATATAACATGATAATCAATTGCGCTCACTTGGGTGTGTGCAGACTCCGGAGGGGCTCCTTCAGCCCAAGCACCGTTTCGATGTGGCGTGCAGCTCGATCCCATAAAATGTAATCAATATAATATGATGCGGCGTGTAGCCCGATCCCATAATATCACTCTCACTCAGGCCTCAGCCTCACTCAGTCATCAGACTCTTCAGTCTCTCGGGCTCACAATGCCATAAAACTAGCCCAAAATGATAATGTGATGTATCAATAAATGATAACAGAGACTGAGATATGATATGCATATGAATGAGTATGACTGAGTATGTAAAGTAATGAAAGCAGATATCTCAACAGCAAAAATGACCTTAGTGGGCCCCAATAGGATAAGCATGTAGCCTAGGCATGATTTCTAACATGTATCACAGCTCAATAGCTCAAGTACGTAGGAATTTCATGGTTACAAGTAAGATCAGGTAACTACGCAGTACCACAGAAATAACAGAGTCACAACTTACATGGTGCACGCTTACACACCTATCACCTAGCATGTGCATCACCTCAACACCAGTCACATAGCATGTAATTCGGGGTTTCATACCCTCAGCACTAAGTTTAGAAGAGTTACTTACCTCGAACAAGATAATTCAAATACCGAGCAAGCCAAGTGATGCTCCAAAAATACCATCTCGCACGTAACGACGTCTGAACGGCTCAGAACTAGCCAAAAGCAACTCAAATACATCAAATAAAGTCCAAAGAAACAATTTACCATGATAAAGATCGAATCCTTAAATCAAAACCCAAAACTAGCCAAAATCACACCGGGGCCTGCGCCTCGAAACTCGACAAAACTCACAAAATTCCGATAACCCATTCAATTACGAGTCCAACCATACTAGTTTCACTCAATTCCGACTCCAAATAAATGTTCAAAACTCAAAAATTCATATTATGAAACTTTAGGCCAAAACCCCTAATTTTCTCTTTAAAATTCATCAACCAAAAGCTAAAATCGAAGATAGATTCATGAAATATAACTAAAACCGAGTAGAGAACACTTGCCCCCATTCATATGGTGAAAATTGCTTTAAGAATCGCCTCAATCCGAGCTTCAAAGCTCTAAAAATGTAAAAATGGCCAAAAACCTCGAAATAGAGTACTTTATAACCACTGGTCAACTTAATGCATCGCGATCGCGAAAGCACCATCGCGTTTGCGAAGAAGAAAAACAATGCTCCTGTAAATTGCCCTATGCGATCGCATAAGTCAGCTCGCGATCGCGGTATACACAACTGACAGAACTATGCGTTCGCGGAAGAAACCTCGCGAACGCGAAGAGATAACCAACACTGCCTTAGCTTGGACCCAAACATAATGCGAACGCGTTCTCAACATCGCAAACGCGATGCTTGACTGCCATAACATATAAGAACGCGAACCAACACTTGTGAACGTGTTGAGGGAGAATTAGTCTGCTCCATTTTTCCCATACACAATCGCACTACTAAGTCTCGCGATCGTGATGAAGAAATGCGACACCAGATATTAGCAGAATACAACAGTGAAAAATGAAGGAAAAATACTCTGAAATCATACTAAAATATACCTGAGCCCCTCGGGACCCCGTTCAACCATACCGACAAGTCCCATAACATAACAGAGACCTACTCGAAGCCTCAAAACATACATAACAACATCGAAACGATGAATCACACCTCACTTCGAAATCAATGAACTTTGAAACTTTAAACTTCCACAACCGATGCCGAAACCTATCAAACCACGTCTGATTGACCTCAAATTTTGCACGCAAGTCACATTTGACATTACAGACCTATTTCAACTTTCAAAATCAGAATCTAACCTCGATATCAAAATGTTCACTCCCGGTCACACTTTCTAAAATTTCAACTTTCTCCATTCAAGCCTATTTCTACTATGGACCTCCAAATCACAATCCAGACGCGCTCCTAAGTCCAAAATCACTCAAAGGAGTTAATGAAACCATCAAAAATTCAATCCGAGGTCAAATACTAAAAAGTCAAACTTGGTCAACCCTTTCAAATTTAAAGCTTCTAGCTAATAATCATTTTTCCAAATCAATTCTGAAAATCAAAGCCGACGATTCATATAAGTCACAATACATAATATGGAGCTACTCATGCCCTCAAACAATCGAGCGGAGTATAAATGCTCAAAACGACCAATCGGGTCGTTACTAAAGCTATCTTTCTTATTCCAAAAAATTCTTCCTCCATTACATATTTTTTCAAAAAAAAACTCTATTTATAATTAGCTAAACTAGTTAAACCAAAAGTCTTTAGTAGTAAGACTTCAAACTTCAAATAGTTTATTTTTTAACTTATATGTATTTACCCTTTTCAAAAAAATTGGAGTCAATTTGGTAGATTGGAATGGAAAGGAAATTAAGAAAACCAAACATTACTATTTCATCTACTATATATTACGTCGTTTGGATAACATTTGGTTGAAATAAAAAAATAAAGTATTTGGGGCAATTTAAAAGGATATTTGGAAGTGAAAATTATGTTGAGATTTGAATTTTACAAAGAAAATAATTGTTATTTTGGGAGAAAAATATTTCACTTGAAATGCATCTCTAACTAGTTTTTTCCCTTCAAAATTTATATTTCAGGTTAAGGTTGAAATAATAGATAAAATTATATCCAAATGCAAATTCTCGTCGAATTCTTTTTTTATTTATAATTTTTCTTAAATTTAACTGATAAAGTTTATTAAATATTTGACAAATATAAAAAATACTCAATTTTGACAAACTTAACTGACCAAGAGGGTGTTTGGATTGACTTTTAAGCTGTTCAAATCAGCTTATAAGCTTTTTTAGCTTCTTTCAGTATTTGTTAAAGTCAAAAAATGCTTAAAATAAGTTTTAAACTACTTAAAACAAAGTCAAAAGCAATAAGTTGAACAACCCCAACTTATTATGAAAAATCACTTTTTTAAGCCCATCTAAATGGGCTCCAAAATTGATGGGAATATTTGTAAAAATAGCACGGGCTAGCCAGTTTTCGGACTGGTCATTCAAAAATAGCTACCATTTGCAAAGTCATTAAAAATAGTCACTATTTTGCTGCAATATGGAAAGTTTCAGCATAATGTACTAGGGATCCGTGCAACTGTGTATGAATTTCCAGCATATTATGCTGGAACTCCAACATGCGGAAAGTTCCAGTATAATATACTAGAGATTGGAGCATCGGTGCTCCAATCTCTAATATATTATGTTGGACTGGTATATTATACTGGAACTCCAATATATTATACTGGAGTATTTTTCAGATTTTGAACAGTGTTTTCGTTCAGATTTATCTTTACATGAACAGTGGCTAAATTTCAATTACTTTTAAAACCTTGGAAACAACTTCTTGCAGAAATGTAGGGTAAGATTGCGTACGATAGGCCCTTGTGGTCCGGCCCTTCTGTAAAAATAGCAAGGTATAGGCAGTTTTTGGACTGGTCATTCAAAAATAGCCAGCGTTTACAAAGTCAATGAAAAATAACCACTATTTTGCTGCAACAGAAACCGATCCAGTATAATATACTGGAGTTCGTGCACTTGTGTATGAACTCCAGCATATTATGCTAGATCGGTATACTTTGTTGACTCCAGTATATTATACTGGACAATTATACTTGCTGGAACTCCAGTATATTATGCTGGAGTTCTAGTGTACTTATGCTGGAACTCCATCATATTATGCTAGAGTTCCAACATACTTATCCTGAAATTCCAGTATAATATGCTGAAATTCAAACATACTTATGCTGAAACTCCAGTATAATATACTGGCGTACCGGGTTTTGAACAGTGTTTTCGCTCAGATTTATCTTTACATGAAAAGTGGCTAAATTTCGATTACTTTTGAAACTGGACTATTTTTGAATGACCAGTTGTAAATCTGGCTATTTTTGAATTTCTCCCGCCCTTTCTTGGACCCCGCGCATAGCGGGAGCTTAATACACCGAACTGTCTTTTTTTTAAAAAACCGTGGCTATTTTTGAATGACCATTTGTAAATCTCCGCGGTATTCTTAAGAGACTATTTAAAACCTAACCCAAACATATTGAGATTTTTTGTTTTGATATCAAAATTCTTTTGTGCGTACCAAATAGAGTTCCGGTGACACTTCCCTCCTTCTCTACCAGCACTAATCGCCGACCTCTTCGTAAGGTCAGTCCCATTAAAATCTCCTTTTTCTTTTTCCTTTTAGTCGTAGATTGCTTTTAGAACATTGCTCTGACTTTTGGCAAATCTGAAATAGTCCCATTAAAATGGGTTTATCCAGATTGAACTTTGAAAAGATTAGAGCACTTCTCATTAGTTATTGTTATTATTTCTAATTTGTTGATCTGTGGAGGTGTATGAACTTTCTTGAATCAAATGCAGACTTAGGGTGAAAAGTGATGCCCCATGCTTGTGGTAGTTTAAACAATGCCAAGCACTAAAAACTTTAACACTTATTAAAGAGTTAAACTTTTGAATATATCATTCTAATGGATTTAGTAGTACTGTTTTAAATAATGATTTGAAATGTAAAAAGTGGAATAGTTAGTTGGTATAATGCCAAATTCATGTTGATGTAAAGTCGTATTTGTTTGTCCTAACAAATTATTAGAGGTAGAATTTTTTTCATTAAAGGAAAGTGGACCTTGGGGCTAACTCATTCCAAAGGCTAGCACATGAGGTGAGAATTACCTAAGGAGACCAATTTCCCGTTCCACGATAGATGTGGGACAAACTCAGCCCCCGCACCAACTAGAGCATAGACAAATAATAAGGTGGCCCCAATATCAGATAAACCAAAAATTATGATCTGTCTGATGTCTGTGATACCATGTAAAGGGATGGACCTTAGGGCTAATTCAACCCTAAAAGCTAACTCATGTGGTGAGAATTGCCCAAAACCATATAAAGAGACTAAACCCCCATTCCACAAACCATGTTAGACAAGCCCAGTATGGTCAAGTATGCTTTTTTTTTTTTTTTTTTTTTTCTGATAGTGCAGAAAGGAAAGAGAGATTTATTGGGAGATAGGAAGTACTTAATAGCACAAGAAATGTTTTGATCAGAAAAAAGTGATCAAATGCGAAGCAAGAATATTTTAATCATGAATATTCAAGAATTTCGTGGAAATGTTTCTATATTCTCGAGCCAAGGAGATTGAAAAAATTCTGGCATGAATATTCATTAGTGGTGTACGAGACCTAAGGTTAGATTCCTCCAGGTGAAATAGAGGCTCAGAGATCCACCGCGAACTCTACAATAGTTGCCGACAACAGTAACTTCTTGTGAACTTCCGATGAATGAAATGCTTAGAAGGATTTGTAGGCGCAACTTCTGCACTTGTTCTCCTCGGCCATGGCTCTTTTTTGGGTTGGGCGATCCTGGTGATAAATACAGGGGAACGAGACACAATGTTTGTTTTGAAATGCTTGATTCATTTGCAGAGTCGCTGGGGATTCATATGGAGACAGCACATTGTAAAGCTATGTTTGGAAAAGGTTTTATCAGTGGCGTTCTAGTTCTCCTAGCAAAGCCAGAAACTTGCATGAATTTGAGTGGTGAATCTGCAGGCCCACTTGCAGCATATTACAACATCCTTCTCACTCGTGTGGTTGTGTTTCATGATGATATGGATTTACCATGTGGAGTTCTTTGTCTTCACCCTAAGGGAGGTCATCACAGCCATAATGGATTGAAGAGCATGATTTATCATTTTTGTGGAAATCGAGAATTTCCTCGGTTAAGGATAGGTGTTGGAAGACCTCCTGGTCAAATGGACACCAAAGCATTCATGCTTCAAAAATTTAACGCAACTGCTAGAGAACGAATTGATGCTGCATTACTTGAAGGAGTACATGCATTGAAGCAGGTCTTATCCAAAGGCTTCTCCGAAAGTTCTAAATGCTTCAATATAGAGCAGAAGTACAAGCACATAAGATTGCAGTCACTGCCAAGATGACATCATGCTTCAAGCTAGGTGTTCAATAGCCTCCATGCATCTCTTTACTTGGACTGGCCAGCGTTTCCTCTTTACCACATCAAACGAGAAGTCAGGTGTAATCACATACCAAAATCCATGGCCAGATCTTTTTGCCTAAGCACCACTGGCTGAAAATCTATTTGTGAATGTTACTACCCTTGTTTAGGCAACTGTTTTGGGTTTGAAACAGATGGAAGATGATTTTGGTCAAGCTGGAAGTTCAAAGTTGACCTAGTCCATAGTGATTGCTAGGATGCATGAATACCCACTCTTTTAATTCCCTGATTCTCGAATATGGTCTGGATGTTTTCCTTTTGTAAAATTGAAATTGCAAGCTTATTCTCCCTAGTACCAAATACTTCCCTCCTGCATCCCCTGACGCTCCTAGAAGAAACCGTTGTGTCTCTTTATTAGAGAAGATGTCTGTACCTATATCTGGTTTATTGATATCTCCCCTTGCCTACTCTCATACGTGGATTAGAAGTAAGCAAAAAGGATATATTATTGACTTAAAAAAAGATTCCTCCAGGCAAATTGAAGGTACAACAACAACAACATACCCTGTATATTCCCACATGTGGGGTCTGGATAGTGTGTACGCAGGCCTTACCCCTACGGCCCTACCCAATGAAGGTAACCAAGGTAACCAGGCGAATTGAAGGTAATGAAGGAAAATAAAGGAAATGTTATAGCTAATACAACCCTATCAAAAAACAAATATAGCAAGTGAAGAAACAATACATATGTACTAAAACGGTAACAAGTGAGTTCAAGGTGGGTTTAAAGGCTTAGGGCATTGACTGCAAGAATCATGTGGCAGAGTGAGGAGGTAAAAAGAGAGATTAAAAAAAAATGGAGAAGCCTGGAAGAGTATAAAAGAATAAAGAAAGAGTCTAAAGAGGTGATTAACGAAGTTAGGTAAATCCTTAGATGAGTTAAACCAAAAGTAACGGATGTACGAAGGTAGGAAAGAAATGTATAAGCTAACACGATGACACAAAAAAGGGGTAAAGACATGGACCAAGTTAAGTATAGTAAAGATGATTTCAACAAGTTTTGACAGGAGACAAAAAGTTCAAAGAAAGATGAAAATGCTATTTTGAGCAATTATTCAATACAAGTTACGAGGATAACTTTACAAATATTCGTACATTCGGTACAAATAGAAACCTTGACCAAACTTGTAGAATTAGATAGAGTGAAGTAAATCATGCCATGAACAACATTGGAGGTAGAAAAGCATGTCGTCGAGATGGAATCTATAGCGAGGTTCAGGATTCCCTTGTAAAGCTTGGAGACGTATGTCTTACCAAACTACTCAATGCTCTATTATGGTGTGCAAAGATGCTAAATAAGTGGATAAAGAGTTGATTCCAATTCATAAACCAAAGGAGATATTGCAAAATCGTGGTATTAAACTTAGATGGTATACATCAAAGCTCTTGGAAAGAGTGATATACATTTGACGTAGGGATATTATAAGGGTAGAGAGCCAACTTGGATTGGATCGCAGGCAGGTTTATTATAGAGGTTATATTTTATAATGAAGGTTGATGGAAATTAGAGCCCATTTGGATGGGCTTTTTTTTTAAGTGACTTTTAAGCATAAGCCAATAAGTTAGGAATTCTAGCTTTTGGCTTTTGGCTTATTTTTGTTATTTTAACTAAAAAACAAGTGCTTAAAAACACTTGTTTTACTTTATCCAAACACTACAAAATAACTTAAAGCTATTTTGGCTTAAAAGCACTTATAATAAGCCAATCCAAACAGGCTCTTACTAGGGATGAAGGATCTCCTTATGATATTCATGGACTAATAAAGGGTAGATGATAAGTGTAGCAAGAGAAGTCTTTTAGTGGGTAATTAAAAGGGCAGCTCAGTGCACAACGCATCCCGCGTTCATGCAGGGTCCGGGGCAAGGTCACATCCCAAGGGGTGTAATTAAGAAGACATAAATTCATATATAAATGACATAAATGATATATTTGAAGGAGCGATCACAAGTGTGAGAATGGTTGGAGGAGATATAATGGGAGTTCTCACAGCAGTAGTTATACAGGAATAGGTCTTAGAGTCTGGACATGCTTACCTTTGGATGAACAAACCAATAGTATACACTGATGTTCCATGGTACATGCTACTTATGTATTAATTGAAGAAATTAAATGAGGTAGTCAACTAAAAAGTTGGAACTATGAAAAAGTGCTCTACAGAGTAAAGGTTTAGGATAAGTAGAAGACAAACACATCTTATCAGTGGACTAACCGTCTGTTTTTTTGAAGCTACACTGAACATTATGTCAATTGTCAAAGGAAAATTATGTCAAGACTGAAGAAAAAAGCAAGCACCCAAACTAAAACATTACATCTGCTGAAGGTAAATTCTGATTCATTTTAAGAACAAGAGGCCAAGTGGCACAGATGCAACTATCTATCCCAGTTTGGTGCAATGCTTGATGAATTGGAAATCTGACTACAAGTTGTTTATTGAATATGTACCAAGGGTTTTCTTCTGTTAATCATGGCCTCTATGGATAGAGCCACAAGAGACATGATTGTTGTATGATTTTGGTTTCCTTTCGTACGAGCTACTAAACAAATTAAGTGTTGAAGTTGTGGATGGAGTCTGTGCATTGTTGGTTTCGTAGATTGTGGTACCGGAGTTGCTATTTGGAATATATGAATTGTGGATACCAACATCCTGTACCTGATGTATCTAGCCTATAATGCAGCCATCAACTTCCTGTGGTTTGGCATTTTAAATGTTTGAGGAAGGATCTGGCATTATAAGTTTGATCTTCCTACTTTTTGCTTCTGAGGAAGATTTTTGACTGTCATTCCGCAGAGTACTGACTACTGGGAGAATGCTCAATGCAATTACCTCTTGCACTGTAGTCTTTTGATGCTTTAGTATCAGAAAACATTTAAAATGTGTTGGTACATGATGGAGTACACTAATTTTCTGAGGTAGGCTCGGCAGCTCTGAGGAGCCATACGGTCAAACTTCATAATTTGAGTGGTGCAGCCTGTGATTATGGTAAAATAAAGTGAATTAGACTAATAGTAGCAATAGCTGCAGATATGGTTTGTCTGCTGTTTCAGTATTTACACAACATCAATCATCATTGTGATGCTGTCTTCTTCAACAATTCAAGCGAAATGTTGGAAATACGTTCCAAACCTCTAAGCATTAGTATAGTAGTAAAATCCCATCAATAAATTCTTTCAATGTTTTCTATATCTCTAGTGGTGCAAAAGTAATAGAAAGGATCCATAATTTTATTTGACAGTACTCTTGGAAATGTGAGGGGACAGCCCTTTTTCATTAGGTCCAGGCATCCAGAATCAGGAATCATCCTACTACCCATGCATAATTTTTATTTTTTAGTTTGATATGAGCATCCTTTTGATTGACCACGACCCGTAGAAGTTCTTAACCTAGAGACACTATGAAGCTTGTGCTTTAGAATACATTTTGTTGATTGTTGCTTTAAATTATATTCACTGACAGGGCCAAAACTGCCCATAATCTATTGGACAAGATCTAAAATTGCTCTTCGTTTTTACCTATTTAGCCTTAAATACCTTCAAATATAGCCCTGAACAATTAAAAAGGTCTAAATATGCTCCTCGCACTAACAGCGGAAGCCATGTGGGGGTATATCTAGACCTTTTTAGTTTCTTAGGGGTATATTTGGACCATTTTTAATTGTTTAGGGATATGTTTCAAATTGTTTCATGTGCTACTGAATATGTACATTTTATTTTTCAGCAAAGATGCATATGTATATATATAGAGCTTAGATATCTCCTTTGACGAGAAAACAGAGACCACAAAATTAAAATTATTATTCAAGAAAATATAACACATGAAGCTAACAACAACAACAACAACATACCTAGTATAATCCCACATAATGGGGTCTGGGAGGGTAGTGTGTACACAGACCTTACCCCTACCTTTGTGGAGGTAGAGAGGCTGTTTCCAATAAACCCTCGGCTTAGGCAAGCATAGATACCATAATAATAACAAGAAAACAAGACAGGACAACACCGAAAAATCATGTAAAAGCAACATACACAACAAGATATGACCGAAATGTAAAAAAAAAAAAAAAAAAAAAAAAAAA